CACCAGATCCTGCCTATTGTAATAACGTGCAGTTACCACCACCAACCAGAGGCGGCGCCAAAGCAATCTTAACTGAAATCTGAAGTATTGAAAACGTTGTGTCTGACAAATGTCACTTTCAGATAAATGCAGACACTATAATACACACACATAAATGCACAAACAAACACACCCATACTTGTTTTCTACACTTTGAGGGGTCCACATATTTTAGCCGAATTGTGGGGTCCACAAAAAAACACATTTAATCAGAATCAGAATACTTTTGTTCGTCCAACAAAGGGGACATTTACATTGTTACAGCAATTAAAAAGAGCCAAAAGTATCAAAAATATTGAACTAGAGGCATGTATAAAAAGTAAAAGATGGAAATGGAAATCACACAAATTATAATTGACTAAATACACATCCAGGTTGACAACGAAAATACCAGTTATAGTATTTAAAAGTGTAGCATGGATAAAGTAGGGTGATAGCAGTCAGGTTAGTCGTATTAAAAGTGGAAGTATACTGCACAGTATTACATTAATTGAATTGTCATGTTGTTTAATATTCCATTCTTTACACACTTAATGCAAATAATATTTAACTGAAAATTGTCCCCTCAATATTGTTTTATTTGTCAGATAGTTTATAGATAGGTCAACTTGTATATTCTTTTACTTTTTAATGCTGTTTTATTTCTATTTTGAAATGTTCACATTTTTGAATTGTTTATTTCTCCTCTTTTAATTTCTACTTGTGTGCAATGCCTTGTTTTTTTATGCTGCTGCAACGACAACATGTCCCAATGTGGGATCATTAAAGTGCTTCTTATGTTATATGTTGTCTAAGAGGTAGCCATCCATATAGACTTTAGTTTGTTCTGATTCCTTCTTCACACACGGTATGTCTCCGCAGTGTTTGGTTGTTATTGTTCTGCAGTGCTTCTGAAGTCTGACAGGAAGTGACAGAGACATGACCCTCTCTTCTTCCTTTAATGTCACTCCTCTTCCTCTCTCTTGACATAAATCTTTTATGAAGTGACATTTTCCTCCAGAGCTGACGGTTCCTCTCTTGGTTTTTCAGGAGCAGTACGTCTTCATCCACGACGCCATCTTGGAGGCGTGTCTCTGCGGCGACACCGCCATCCCGGCCAATCAGCTGCGCTCTGTGTACTACGAGATGAACCGATTGGACCCTCAGACCAACTCCAGCCAGATCAAAGAGGAGTTCAGGGTAACGTGTTTTTAGTACATAATGAACGACTGAGTAGCATCTGCAGGTACATGTGTTAATGATATATAATATAAATTATACAGTTTCCAATGTAAGTAATCAGTTATTAAATGCTAATAAACCATTACTTCTGCTGATATTCATTTTAATAACCAATTATTTAAGAGTAATAAACCATTACATCTGCCATCATATATATAACTTACTTAATTTGAAACAGTTATTAACTAAATAAGCCTCTTTTAAAGGGTAATGAACGATAATAGCTCTAATTAATAGTATTGGTATTTATCTGTTATGCTGTTTTCTATAACTAATGATTATTTATTTATTGTTTAATGGTGGAAATATCGGTATTTATGGTGATGTTTTTTTTTTTTTAGATGTAAATATTGATTATTGTTATTAAGGGTATTGTTTAGTATTGTAGATTTTACTTCTTTAAGTATTAACAGTTTGTTATCGGTGTCCAGACGCTGAACATGGTGACGCCCACGCTGCGGGTCGAGGACTGCAGCATCGCTCTGCTGCCGAGGAACCACGAGAAGAACCGCTGCATGGACGTCCTTCCTCCAGACCGCTGCCTCCCCTTCCTCATCACCATCGACGGGGAAAGCTCCAACTACATCAACGCTGCTCTCATGGACGTACGTACAAATACTTTGTTACTGTACTTAAGTACACGTTTCTGGTCTCAGTATTTTACTCCACGGCTTATTTTTCTGACCACTTTTTACTTTGACTTCTCACATGTTGAACTCAAATACCTGTACTTTCTACTTCTTACATGTTGAACTCAAATACCTGTACTTTCTACTTCTTACATGTTGAACTCAAATACCTGTACTTTCTACTTCTTACATGTTGAACTCAAATACCTGTACTTTCTACTTCTTACATGTTGAACTCAAATACCTGTACTTTCTACTTCTCTCATTTTCCAAACAGGCTGGTTCCTTTAGTCTGAATGTGTGTTTGGTGGCGTGATCATTATTATTTAGAGTCATTGCGTGCCTATTGATTTGAACACGATCCGTGTATCCATCATTTCCTGGTCTTCTCTAAAGAAGAGGGACCAATGAAAACGTTGTCATGTTGCCGTTGTTCACCATGGAAACATTCATTAGCTAACAATGACATTATTGTTCT